GGTTTTCACAGACTCCTTTATATTTACTTAACATTTTTCTTCAATACTTTCAATCTAATATTAAGATGAAATTGATAAAGGTGAATACGTAATTACTCTAGACTCAGGTCATTGTCCCCTCTTTTAGAGTTCATTTGTTTTAAAAAATTAATTTGTTATTGAGGTATAATCTGTATACAGATTTTTAAGTTCAATGACTTCTGACAAATGTCCGTTCTCATGTAACTAATATCCTGAACATTTCCATTCACTGCAAAAAGTTTTTATATACTTATTTGCAACTAATCACCACCCCATCCCACTAGAAACAACCACTTTTCTCATTTTTATGTTCAGAGATTAATTTTACTTTTTTTTGAATTTCATATAAATGAAGTGCAGGAAGACAGATTTCTTTCAACATCGTATTTTTAACATACTATAGAGATTCAATCATGTTATTGTATCAGTAGTTCATTATTTTTTACTGTGATGTTATTACTATTTTTATATGCATATACCAGACTTTGTTTTTCCATTCTTCTGCTGATGGATATTTAGATTTTTCCAGTTTTTGGCAAATATAAGTAAGACTGTGAAGAAATCCTTAAGCAATCCTTGAGCCTGTATGTCCTCATTTCTCTTGGGTCATACCTCAGTGTGGAATCCTCTGATTATAGCCTAGGTCTATGCTTATTTTTATAAGAAATTATGAGACAGTTTTCCTAGTGCATGTGTTCCATTTTATACTTGCACAGGCAATGTTAAAAATTACATTTGCTTCACACCCTTATCAATATTTGATTTTGTCTGTCTTTTTAATTATTTTCTAATGTTTGGGAAGCAGTAACTCGTTGTGGTTTTGATTTGCATATGTCTGAAGACTAATGCCATTGAACACCTTTCCATACACTCTTAACATACATACATCTTTTTTTGTGAAGTATCTGTTCATATCTTTTGCATATTTTTCTATTTTTAATTGTATATTTTTGTCTCTTATTATAGTTTTTCAATATTTTGCATACAAGTTCTGTGTCTCATAAATGTATTGAGAATATTTTCTCTCTGTGGCTTGCCTATTCATTTTCTTAATGATGTCATTTGATGAGATTTTAATTTTGATAAATCCAACTTAACAATTTTTTCTCTTATAGATAAGACTTTTTGTGTCCAGTCTAAGAAATCTACCTGCCCCAAAGTCAGGAAGATATTTTCTTGTTTTCTTCTCTTTTTATAGTGTTACCCTTTAGGTCTGTGAACCTTCTTGAATTTATTTTTGTGAATGGTGTGAGCTAGGGGGTGAAGTTCTTATTGTGAATGGTCAGAGCTAGGTCTGTCCCATTGTTTCAGCTAAATTTGTTGAAAACTAACCTTTTTCCATTGAATTGTTTGGGTATCTTTGTTGAAAACCAGTTGACCTCTTTAATGAAGTGTGATTCTCTTTCTGGACTCTTCTATTCTGTTCTTTTTTTTTTTTTCTTTTTTTTTTCTTTTTTTTTGACTTACTTGTCTACCTTCACCCTTACCATATTCTATCGATTAGCTTCATGAATTTTATCATTCTTTTAGTCCTGTCCCTGTCATGGTGGCTACTTTTACCTTCTGTGGGTATTAGGAGATTATTTGGATTAATTAGAGATTATTTCATAAATTAGTAAAACTTCCAAACTGCTTGGGGTCTCATAGTGTCTCTATAAAATAGGAAAAGTAAGAACTTCCTTACAGGGTTGTTGGGAGAAATAAACCATCTAGTATACCTTTCAAAAGTATAATTCTAAAATAATATTTGTGTGTTTAGGAAGTGGCTTATTTTTATTTCACTTTTTGCTTTCCTTAATTTTAAGACATGTTCTCATGTACGTTTACTCAGATCTCCAAGAAGGGTATGCAACCCTTAGTTTCAGAGAGCAGGGCACCTATTCTGTGGATTTAGGGAAAAAGAAAGGTCCAAGATAATTAGGAGTAATGACACCTGATTCCTTCCCAGTTACAGAAGCCAAGTCTTCTGGTAATGGCAACCCTTCCTGATAGTTACCCTTCCACTGCTTTTTAAAAAGCAAGAACTATGAGACTTCTAATGCTTTATTCTACCTGAACTTTTTGATCTTATCTCCTTTTTCTCTGTTGTGTCAGCCACTCTTAGCTGATAGACCTTTGCTCTCCCCACCCCAAGTTGGTGACTTTTAAATCTGTGTTTAGTATTTGTTAAGGTTGTCCCAAAGCTTGGATGAGTTTCCCCAAATGATTCAAAATAGGTTTAAAGTGGCTATGAGGAGACAGGTTCAAAGTCTGAACCCTTTGAAAACTAGTGGAATAACAACTCTTCTTTTTTCTCACTCATCAAAAAGCTTATGACAAAGATGAATAGGAAGTGGAAATTCTTTTCCAACCTTTTTCCTGTTACTGTCCTAGAACATATCCCAATTATCATTCTCATTTTTAAGTTGAAATCTTTTTTTCTTTAAATTTAGTGGCATATTCTTACTTTTTTGGCCTTTGCATTTACTAGACTGTAAGCTGGAGCACAATAATTTGATTTTTTTTATCTCAGTTTCAGATTTTAGCATCAGGCCAAGCGCTTTGCATCCACTTCATAAATGTCATTTGAATTCATTTTATTAGTCAAGTGCTGATGTTGTGCCAAAGTCAGTGTCAAATACGGGACAGGTAGTAATCACTCATGGCTTATTGACAGCAGGAACTCCACATTTATTCATTGATTAAATTAAAATACCTGACAATACAGTCAGCTTTAAGTTCATTTTATAATTAGAGTGTTAGAGGAGTCAAGTGATCCTTTCTTTTCAAAAACATGTTAGAACCACTCAACTGGAATTCTGTAGATCAGATTATTAAATAATATTGTTCTGTACATTTTTTCTGTAATGTTATCCATAAGACTTAGATCTTATGTGCTAAACTCCCATGGTGACAATGCAGAATAGAGTCATCTCAAATTCTGTCCTATTCCAGTTAGTGTTAACAGCCAGATTCCAGTGTACTTTACCAAGTAGGTGAATAAATATGGTTTTCAAAAGATACAGACATGAAAATGAAGCACTGAGTCTTGATGCTAGATTTTCCAGTACTCCTAGTAATATGCTTATGTAGAAGTTGTTCTCAGGCCTGTGATTAATTTCTGCTTCCTAGCGCAAATTGGCAAGTCTTACTTTCTTTTTCGGTAGAATATGGACTTGTCCATCAAATCCTAGGCAGCCAGTCTTGGGGGCACCCCTTAAAGCCTAGAGGAGGTAAAATTAGGACACACACAGAAAAGGAAGTTTACTACCCATAGCAGGTGGTAAATGTGTGAGAAGTATTACCAGGAGAGAAGTAACATAGATTGCAAACATAAATCCTTAAACATTTTTAGGTAAAACCGTGAAGCCAGATCTATAAACAGTGCTGTGGGATCTAGGATGCTTGGAAATATCCCTAATCTAGGTATTGATGTTAAAATAACTATGCCTTCCTGAAACATTCCTCTGTATGTCCCTGTGAATAATTTACTAAGCTGATTGTGTAATGAACTAATTCAGTATAATCTCCTTAAACTCCACTTTGGACTTTGAACCTGAGGGGACAGAGTGAGAAAACCAACTGTCCGGGAATCACAGATGCGGAACACCAAACGTTCATTACCAAACGTTCTATTTTGTCCAGCACAGGTGCAGGGAAAGTGAAGTTCAAGGCAGAGAATTTTTTCAATGACTTCAAATCAGTCTCTTTTTCTAGAGATTTAAAGGTACTGTAAAGCTTTAATGCTTTCAAAATTCAACATGACGATCTTTCTAAAGGGTTTGCAGCTAAATAAAAGCGAACTAACTGCCTTTCCTCGCCGGCCCACTCCCCGACGGCGGGGACGGAGTTCACAGCGTCCTGGGCAGTTGCCAAGGTCCCGCCCCGCCCACCGAGGGGAGCCGCCGGCCCCCCGGTGCAGGGTTCGGAAGGAAACGGTAGGCGGTGGTGCTCCGCGAGGGGACGATGAGATTAAGAGGAGGAGCGAGGCCAGGCCGAGAGGCGCTCTTTAAACGCTCTAGAAGATCAGTCGAAAATTGGCCACGGGCAGCGCAGGCCGCGTCCCGCCCGCCCGCCGACAGTCCCGCTGCGCCCGGCGCCCGCTCGGATTCGCAGCCTTCCGCCCGCTCGGATTCGCAGTACGTGCCGGGGAGCGTTCGTGGAAGCCTAGGGGATGGAGAGGGTGGCGCGCGGGGCGGAGAGAGCCCCTCGGCCTGTGCAGTTAGAGGCCGCCGCCATCCTGCGGCTTCTTTGCACCATTTAGCTGCTCAGCTTGAGCTTTGCAAGCTGGTGTCCTGGTAGGAAAGTTGTCCCGTTCTCGCCCGACTCCAGGAGTGAAACCTGAGAGATTAAGTCCTCTCATGTGTAAGTGGTGAAACACTTACTTTTTATTCTCAAGCCAAAGTAGCACCTGCGTTTGAAAGGGCCCCCTTGAAGTTTTGGCGAATAGGGAGTAGATGCAAGATGTAGTAATGGAGGAAGTTGCTGCAGCTTAAGCAGCTCATTGTAAAATCCTGCCGCAGTTCTCATTTCATGGACAAACTGGCCTCGTAGCTCGGCAAAGATCGGCTTTGCTCCTCCAGGGTCACTTTGATAGGTAAGGCGAACATCAGCAAGTTTAAAATAATTAATAATAATGATTATAATAAAGTGCTGGAGGACATGATTTCAATTCTGTGACGTTGTAATGGCATTCTAGCCAGTTGACTGGAAAGCTAAGGAGCAGGCGCTCTGGGAGGTTTCCAGCCCTCCCAGTCCAGAGGAGGGTGCCGTGTAGAAAGAGTAGAGGAGAAGGGAACCCTCATTTGGGAGTTAAGACCTCAGAAATTATTGCTAATGCTGGGCCGGGGTGCTGGAGGGACCCATACATGCCAGTCTTCTGTCTTCTGTTCCTTTACAAATAGTCCCAAGGCCTTTTGGTAGTCTGAGCACCACTTTTATTTTCTCCTTTTCTCCTTGCCTGCTTTCTCTCCAATGGAGTTGCATGGCCCAAGGGAAATTTCCGCAGGCCCTCAGCTCAAGCCTGGAAGCCCGTCAAGCCTTCTCAGGGCCCTAGCCTGCTCTGAATACCAAGCTAGACGCCTTTTGCAGTCCCTGGGCACCTACTATCCTGGGAGCCACAGCATTTTACTGCCGCCACAGGGGCTCCGAAGCATAGGAGGACCCATCTGGAATCACTTCAATCTGGTCGGGAAATTCTAGAACTGATAAACAGCAACAAGACCATTGAATTATCTATCCATTTTTTCCCCCACGGGTAGCTTTCTATTGGTATCAGAAGTTTAAAAATGGCAGAGTCATGGTCCTGTGGGTGTGTGCCAGATTTTCTGTGTGTTTTGCAATATTGGTGTCAAGAGGTCACTGTGAATAAGGGAAGAGAACTTTGTTCTTTTTGGCCATCCGCCTGTAAAGATAAAAGGAATATTCCTCAGTTGAGAGTTGAAAACCCAGCTGTCATAGATATGATGGAGATGGGAGGAACAGGAGAGGAAGGGAACTGACAGAGCAAGGCCCCAGGAGACCAGAGCAGGAAGGGGTTCTCAGGTGGATGGTGGATAGCCCATGAGTTAGACACTTGGGAGAATGGGGTTCCAATCTCGGACCCTCCACTGAGTTTGGGTCATATTACTCACTCCACCTCTCTGGACCTCAGTTTCCCTGTATGTTAAAAGCAGAGACAAATATCACACTTGCTCTGACTACCTTAGAGTTTTCCAGATGAAGATCATGTGAAAGCTTTCTGAGAATTAAAATGGTATCCTCAGTGCCAAGAACAGCACCAAAGAAGGAATTTATTTATTTACCAAATACTTATAGAGCACTTACCAGGTCCCAGTGGTTTTCTGAGCTCTTTCTACTTTACTCATTTAATGTTCACAAGAATCCTGCGAGGTGGGAAGCATTATTAACTGCATTATAGGTTAGATAAGTAGGTCTCAGAGAAGTTAAATCACAGCTAGTAAGTGACAGTCGAGCAAGATCCACTCAGACTCCAGCCTAGTTCTGGAGACTAACACCCTGCTCTTTGTCCCCTCAAAGGCAGCCACCTCCACATTAGAGGACAGAGCCCTGTTCTGTCACGAGAAAGGTGCTGTCTATCATGCCACTTGATGATGAACAATGAAAAGGAAAATACGCTGTGCAGATAATTTCCACCCTTGTGATGATTTATTTCCTATAATGCAATAACCAAGTTTCACATTTTGCTCTGCTTAGTTTTCTTAGATTATTTTCCCCTCATTTCTAGAATCTGCAAGCCACCTAACATTTTACCCTCCTAATGATTATGACTACCATACTGTTTTTCTCGCTTCTGGAGATCTTTCTTGGTAAAAAGCTTTAAGTCGTTTTGTCTTTTCTGCAGTGCCCTGCCATGACGCAGGCTCAGGGAGGCTTATCAACTAATCAGTTTTGAAAAACAAAGCATAGATCAGGATCACCTTATTCTGTGCTATAAATGATTTCCATTTCTTAATGTCTTAGCTTTACTAACACTTGGGTGTGCGGGCAGTGGAAGGTGAGAGGTGTTGAAAGACCAATAGGGTGTGATATCACAGCTCTCTCAAAGCCACACACTTGAGTTAAGCCACATTCTTGGTGATCAGGAAACTCTCTTTTTGGGAAGTGTACATTGAATGTGTTGTTCACATTTCAAGAAAAATCCTCCCGTTGCCTGTTTCCTCCAACTGCTGACATCTTTCTATTCTTTCCCACCAATAGTCCTGGAAGGTTTCCATTTTTTTCCTCACTCTTTCAGTAACAGTTTTCACCAAGAGAAAACTCATCTCAGGACTTTTATTCCATTGCTAAATAAATTTCATTCTGGAGACATCGTAGAGACCTACAGAACTGTTTTCATTTAAAATTACTGTGAAATAGCAACACTTCCTATTTGATAAACTTGTCTTAATTAATTTTTTTTTAATTAACATTCCTGCTGTGTTTCTTCAGATCTCTGTCCAGAGGCACAGGACTTAGGGATCCTTTATTAAGCTAATTACTTTCCATGAGCTTTAAAGATAGTACATTTTATTTATGGCTTTCACCCCAAATACTGGGACAAGAGCAGCTACATTAAACGGTGCTAAAAATATTATCTGGCACTGAGAACTTATCTAATGTTCTGTGTTTTCAAGACTACTGACTTGTGGAGGTGGAGTAATTTGTTGGATGCATTTTGCTTTGTTTCTTTCTAACTGGAACATATAGTTTCTGTTTGCTTAAACCCAAAGAGTATATTTTTTAGCCCATCCTGTAAAAAAGGGGCTTTGCTTTCTTTATCTGAAAAATGGGAATAATAATACCTACCTCATAGCATAATTGGAAGAGGAGAGGACAGGAGACACTAGATGGAAGGGGTGCCAGTAATGCCAGTCACAGAGGAGGCATTCAGTCAGTGTTAGCTGAATCAGAATTAAGCAGTTTGCAGACTCTCGAAGGAGACAGTGCAGTGGGGTTAGTGTACTGTTGTTAAGGTCAGAGACCTGGGTTTGTCATCTTGCTTGGCTGTTTAATATCTCTGATTCCCATTTCTTCATCTGCAACATGGATATGATCTAGAGGATTACAGTATGTATGGTAGTTAGGAGGATTACCTACAACAATGTGCCTAAAGTACATGGCACAATTGGATACATAGTAAGCTCTTATAAAATTAAATATATATGTACATGCATGTGAATTTCATGGTACTACTATGTGCATAGTGTCCAACTGGTGGTTTATGTTAATGCAAAAATATAATTTTAGTCTATCTTTGTATCACTTTGTCTATTTATTTTTGCTTGCAATACTGTCTACGTTTTCACTGTCACCCTTTACTTATTTGATGTCTTCAAATTTAATGTTATAGTACTAGAAAAAACATAATACTGTTTATCTTGAAATTAAAAAAAAACAAAATGATTATTTCTCCTGCAAATAATGCAAGATATTTTTAAGAACTGTATGGTTAATGCTGCAATATCAGCACACCAAGGGACCTTTATGTTATTTTGGGGTATTTATGTCTACTCTTTCCTATCATGTCTAAAATCTTTTTATGATTCCAGACCAAAATTGAAAAAATGGTTGACCACACGGAGCTCATACAAAATGAAGTATTCTTGGCCTTTGCTTCCTATGCAACTATTGTTCTTTCAAAAATGATGTTTTTGAGTCTTGTAACCGGGTTCTATAGAATGACCAGAAAGGTAAGTCATTTGGAGGCAATTTTTCTTTTAAGAGTTAAATTCTGGAACATAATTTTCTTAATTTACTCTTTTTTTTTCATAAAGCCTGATGGCACATTATTTAGTGCTGCAAATGAAGTATGCAGTGATTTGGTACAGAGAAATCTCATGTATTTCTGGAACAAGTGCTTTCACCAGAAACTAGTGAATTTTTTTTTTTAATATGGCTTTTGCCTTTTGTCATGCTACTTAGTATATGAGATTTCTGGAGTATCAGAGTTTTCAAGGAAACTTTTTGTGATTTTAAAGTTAATTTTGCCCGCTGGAGTTGAGAAAATAGTCATTTTTTCAGACAGCTAACTGGTGTTTGCAGCTGTATTGCAGGTCAAGGATATGCCTTTGGGACAGAATTATAGTTATTGTTATTATCAGTAGTCTTTTACACCTGGGACAAAGCATTTGAATTTTGTGTAGTTCTGACTTCTTCAAGGGGATAATATTTCTACCCCGCATTATAAGAATGATGTTTTTTTTTGTTTTAAACCGGAGGCTTGGGACAGTGGTAGCAAGTTTCTGAAGCGTATATGCTCAAGCAGGACTGATGACACAGTGAGGCGGGTAGAGCAGAGCTACCTGGACAAAGTTAAATGAATTTCTTCGGTGTCCCCCCTGTGCTGATTCAACCTCTTCTTTCTGGAAACCACCTTTTCCCTCTTAGTCCCTGTCCTAAGGTTTTGTGCTCCAGAACTTTGCTTTTATCTAGAGGACACAGTCCTCCCTAAGGTATTTCTTTGTTACTGTCCTGAAGTTAATTCCTTCGCATTTGAATGGGGGCATACACAAAAATGTTTAAGTCTCTAATTGGGCAACGTGTCAGAGCATCACGCAGTGAAGTGGCTGTGTACAATCAGGACCACACTGTCCTCTAGAAATACAGTGGCACCAAGAATGCAGAAATATACCCTGTCTTATAAGAAAAGGAGAAAAGGATTTGAATTTGTGGATTTGCCAGTGTTAGGTGCCAGGTCATGGAATCATTTTACAGAATCAGTAGAATGTTCATGTGAGATGAGCATTAGTCTCCCATTTTACAGATGAGAAGCTGAAAGTTAGAGAGGTTAAATAGCTTATCCAAGGTTACACACCAAGAAAGGATGAGGTTCACATTGGTTTAAACTCAAATCTCATGTACTTTCCATTGTAATATATGCATTTACTTATTTGAGCTATATTTATTGAACATCTAGTGGGAGCCAGTCACTTATTTAAGGACAAGAGAGACCGACCTGATCTCAAGAGCTGATACTGAATTACATCCCTTCCCATCACTTCTCTGACATCTTTTTTTTTTTGAGAGGGCATCTCTCATATTTATTGATCAAATGGTTGTTAACAACAATAAAATTCTGTATAGGGGGGTCAGTGCTCAATGCACAATCATTATCCATCTCAAGCCTAATTCTCGTCAGTCTCCAATTTCTGAAGCATAACGAACAAGTTTTTACATGGTAAACGAATTCTTACATAGTGAATAAGTTCTTACATGGTGAACAGTACAAGGGCATTCATCACAGAAACTTTCGGTTTTGATCACGCATTATGAATTATAAACAATCAGGTCAGATATGAATATTCGTTTGATTTTTATACTTGATTTATATGTGGATCCCACATTTCTCCCTTTATTATTATTATTATTTTTATTTTTAATAAAATGCTGAAGTGGTAGGTAGATGCAAGATAAAGGTAGAAAACATAGTTTAGTGCTGTAAGAGGGCAAATGTAGATGATCAGATGATCAGGTGTGTGCCTATGGACTAAGTATTAATCCAGGCTAGACAAGGGCAGCAAAACATCCACGGATGCAGAAGATTTCTCTCAAAGCAGGGGGGGTGAGGTTCTGAGCCTCACCTCTGTTGATCCCCAAATTCTCACCTGATGGCCCCCCTGCGACTGTGCCTGTCTTAGGTTGTTCCTCCCTTGAGGAATCTTACCCGTCTCTGGCTAACCAGTCATCTTC